ATATACGATGAACTTAATGCATATTTGTGAAATTGACTTCATTCATTGATAAGAAGCCAACACAGCAACCCGTGGTGACACGTGGACGCAGAATATATAGAACATTTTAAGTGACTTCTACCTATATGTTTCACCTTCACCCCAACCTGAACAATAAGCTCAATTTTCAATTTGGCAACACCTTCTGTGTACGCTGTTTTCAGTTGGACGGGAGAAATATTTTGTTGGTCAGTTCCACGAGGTCGGCTTCTTTAAGTTACAGCAAATTCACAATATTTAAGAAATATCATACGCTATAAAGTGTGTCTTATTTCAGTGTCCTTCTCGTTACCTACCCTCTTGTTTACTTTACACTGTCTCGATATCGCATGACCCACCCGTACGGCAACGTATGAACACTTCCAGTAGCATTGGCATGGACGCCGCCAACGTGCGTTTACAAATAATTATACTATATTAAATGTACACAAAAAGCAATAAAAGACGTGTCCTTGAAACCATCTGACTAGAAAATTAAATAATTTAAGTAAAATCATATAACGATAAAAATGACAAAACTACACGTGAACAAAACTCCGGGATACAGCACCAATGGGAAACCTAATTGCATTTGAAAATATGCATAGATTTTCTGTTATAATCACTTATGAACGAAACCAGTGTGTGTATTCAGATGCGGGTCAGCATAATAAATAATCCGCCATCTTGACATACATTCGCTAACTGTGCTACACACTGCCGGTAGCGCCAGGCAAACCCTTAGTACTCCACACCAACTAGCTATTATCATGGAGTAAGGTTGTGATTATATTGACAGTACAGATCTAAATTATTCGAAGAGAAATCCGGACACAACTACACCTGAAGACAGAGAGCCAGAGAGTCGATTGGAATTTTCACTGCAATAGTAAGTACACAGTTCTACGCCCGTTTATCCATGGCGATCATATGAACATATTAACATACACAACTGAAATATAAATAATATCGGCCTCAGGCGGCCATGTTTTCTCGTAATTCCGGGTCACAATTCACGCCTCTGATCCATAATTCAAGTTGAAAAACCAAGAAATGTGACGACCTGTTCGACTCAGATTTGAATGTTGCTAAATCGCGGACAACACAACACAATACAATACAATACACTCGATTTCGACACGCATTGACGATTGAAACCTATCTACATACAATGGTCTATGCATGAATTTGAACCACACACGGTTCTATGGAAAAATTATTAACTCGATTTTAGTGAACATTTTCGGTATTTAGATCGACATTTTAATGAGATATAGGAATTCAGTCTTTAACCATTTATACAAAATAAAAACAAAAACGTCAGCGCCGATTAATTTAATAGCCAGGCCACAGTGCTTTCAATTAACCCCGTTGGTTCTAATTTGGTCAGATATTGTTCTAGGGTGCGGGTGGACAACAATACATGAAAGGGACATCGAGGTAGCGTTAATTGTACCATCATGATTGTACACAATGTGCCTGTACCGAATAGAGTTCTGTTGCATTTGAACAGAGTGTTACCATCTCATATGAACTACCTGATTCATACAGTGGCGTTGGTATAGGAAAGCGCACGAGTGTTTGACACACAAGTGTATTATTTGAATCACAGTCCCTGTGATAGAGGGACTGTGTTTGAATTTAGCATTGTTAACTGTAAGCATGGGGGGTAGCTGGTACAGGTTACAGGAAAGAAAAACAGCATTTTACGTTTTTACAGGAAGTAAAATGAAAATTCCATTTACAGTAAAACATTGGTTTTTACACTTTACAAATAAAGCAAATTCCTAATTACATTTTACATTTTTGATAATTTAAGTTTAAGAATTAAAATTGAAAATTACACACGAATTATGACATTTAATTTGAAAAGTGCTTTTTATACGCTTACAAAAAATAATATGTTTGTTCAAATTATGGACGAATAAAATACAGCTTGCCCATGTCTACGAATTTACGTTTTTTATTTATTTAAATTACAATATTACGAAAATAATAACAATTGATTACAGCTTACGAAAATACCCCTTGCCGACCCTCTACTATGATTATACCAATATTATGACTGTATGTCGCATTTTGTGAATTATGTTTGGAACTGGATTCATTAAAAGTAGTTCTACTAGGCGACATGAGCGGTCAAAACATATGTGTTAAAATAGACAAATAAACCTAATTAGAATCCTACTATTAACTATTATCGACTTTGTTAGGTAATGAACTACTCGAGTTAAAATTGTACCCGTGGCTTCAGATCGCCACTGTGTCACGGACAAAAACAAAAACAGCGAAACGACTGCACAGTGTAGGATTGTTTCCCCCGATAAGCACTGCGTGATGTTTACTATCGTGCACATTTTTGCATTTAAATTTTAAAACACCGTCCGAATCGCGCGGTTTTGCGAGCTCAATGTAAACATTCTGTATCAATGTAAACGACATGAAATCGGTTGAAGTGATCATAGTCAAGATAAATAGTTCCACCAACTGTAGTTTTTGTTCAGTACTAGGCCAGGTACCGAAAACAATCTTAGCAAGTGGGAACGGTGGAAAGACCGCCAAAATATGCATTGGCGATTCATTCGCGATCGGCAACACAAGGCTACGTTTTGTTTATGACCAGTTGTCACATGTTACGCCAACTCTGATTGGGCACATGTTTTAGAGGCGCATCCAATCAGATCTATGCAATTTACCGAGGTAAAATACACGACTTTTCGGTGCAATTCCGCACGGGTTCGTGGGCGAGCATGTTTACATTGAGCTCCCGAAAGCGCGCGATTCGGACGATGGTATTTCACCTGCATTTCTACAATTTGGTTTGCACTGATTCTGCATGGAAAGTAACGGGAAAACACACATAATATTCTTACTTTACATTCACTGTATACAATTCTGACTACGCCAAGTGGAATAGTTCAATAACGAAGAATACGCTGAATTTCTTATTTGTTTTTTTGTAGGCTTTGTGTCGATTTAATATCGATTCTCCCGCATGTTATCTCGTTATTACTGGGATATCAGGAAATGTTATAAAATTCAGCGTAACCCCCCGGGGGTCCGACTTGTGGAAATACCTGGAACCCATGTCTGTGAAAGGGGTTTTCAAAATGACCCTAAACACGTTTTAAAAGGTCAAAATTTCGTATCCTTTTCACTGTTAGAAAGCTAAAAGATCACGCACCTTGAACTTGTGCCTGATCTCGCGATATTTGAGCTTTCTAGTAACCCTTCAGTGTAAGCACGGGTTGGTCATCTGCCGTGATCGCCCGTGATCGAGGGTCGTTAACCAGGTCCGGACGTTTTTGCGATCATTGAATTCCTTAAATCAATAAAAAATAAACGGATAACCACATTTAATAAAATAACCACCCTTATCGCATTGCAGTACTGAAAAGACACCCTTTTTGTCTATTTTGACTGAATGGTAACCCTAAACGCGTAACGCGCGTTAACGTGCTTCTCTTAAAAAAACACACACCCTTTTAAAGCGTTTTCTTTCACAGACATGCGTACCAGATCATTCTTTAAGTCGGACCCCGGGAGTAATCCCTCCCATAGTAAATATTCACAGATTATATGTTTTTTTTCCAGGTAACTACTAGCATTAACAGACAGAACAATGGGAAGGGATTGGTCAACGATTCTGGCAAAATGTCTCGTTGGTATGTTTGCCGTCTCCGCCTGGATTGACATAAGTGGTGTCTTTGTCGAACTGCCGCTGATGGTGGATGTGTTACCTGAAGGATGGCGTCTGCCCTCTATCATCACATTCATCAACCAAATAGCCAACATCGCGACGCTTGCGTTTTTCTTGTTCACTCGATATAGTAAAAGACACGTGGAGATACCCGTCAATTTTATCATAATATTCACCGGCATTGCATCGCTGACATGCATGATATTTTTCTGGGACCACACAACAACTATACACGGGAGGGAGTACAGCGTGTTTTTTCTGTTGTTGATTGGCTTATTATCGATAGTAGATTGTACCTCGACATTGTCATTTCTCGCTTTTATCTCACTTTACCCGGAGACGTTCGTCGCTCCGTACTTTGCCGGTGATGGATTAAGTGGACTGTTGCCAGGAGTAGCTGCTCTCATACAGGGCGTGGGGGGCGATATCCAATGCACTAATATATCGCTGCTTAACAACACTATAATGGACAACACAACAGGTTACGACATATCACATTCGACCACGCTACCGCTTTTCCCAGTGGAAACATTTCTAGGTTTTCTTATATGCATGATGTGTTGTAGCCTTGCAGCGTATACATTACTCAACACTTTGCCATCGCTACTGAGACTACGGGTGCGTAACCCCAAATACTCAATAGTGGAGGACACGAAGGATTTGATAGTTAATACAATCATGGACTCGGAATCTTGCAGTGAAACGGACAACAGCGAATCTGCTGAAACGCCGCCAGTGGCAACACGGCGACTAGACCCGGGAGCCATTTGCCAACCATCAGTTGTGTATTGGTGCTTCCTGCAATTCTGGACATCGTTGTGTCAATATGGTATCCTGTTGTCCGTGGTTTCATACTCGGCTCTCCCGTACGGCAGTTACGTTTTCCATTTAACGTTAACACTGCCTCAAATTACTATCCCGTTTACGTGTCTATTGGCAAGTTATCACCCATGCTCTCGGGTGTCCGTCACTGGAGGGCTCACCTTACTAGGAACATTTGGTATGTCGTATGTGATGTGGTTGGCACTTCAGAGCCCTACACCATTCTTATGTGGCAGTGTATGGGGCGGTTTCATCGAGGTGAGTCACAGTCACTTGGGGGCTGAAAATCAATAAATACTAATTTTTTGAAAAAAACAATCATCCGCTATACGTATATAAATAAACAATTTGTGAAACATGACACCTAGTAAATCGACACCCTGTCGGTTTCAAATTACGATTCCTTACCTTAAAATGCGAAACAAAATTTTTAGAGGGGATCAGGTGTTACGTTAATAACCATTGTTCATAATCGCTAACTTGGTTTTATTTAAAACTGTGAGGTGAGTATAAGTAGTGTTCTCATCGAGAGAGAAAAGAGTGTAAGTTTTACGAGGCGTCCCAAATGAGGGCATATGCATTACGAAACTACGAGTTGCAACGCCGTGCCAGTTAGACGATTTATAACAAATTATTAATCAAACTAACAAAAACAAACTAGCATAACTTTGTATAACAAAGGAGGCCAAATAGTTAACAAATATGGCTAAGCCTTTAATTCTATCTTTATTTCTTGTGCACACAGATAACCGTCGTCGTCATTATCTATATCTCGTTCACTTATGTCAGAGTAATGGCGGCGTACTACACCCACCTGAGAGGGCGCAATCACCTAGTGCTGAACAGTTTCATGATACAGATTGGTTCGATGATCGGTACATTCATCATTTTTCCAATCATCAACTATACCGGGTTATTTGTTGAAAGCGACCCGTGCGGTTCTTTGTGTTATTAATGTCAACCTGGTGCAACCTACATTCGAATTTAAGAAAAGTTTCATGTGTGATCGGCTGATCAAATAAATGTCGGAACTTATCGATACTCGCCATTTTTCCTATAACTTTACTACTGAATTTGTTATAATACGATGTATTTTTCCCTTTATTGAGGAGATTTTATGTACCAATCACACCATACCTCTCTCGGTGGGGGTGATTTTCTTTTCTGTAATTTGATGGGTTTCGACAACAACATTTACAATGAGAGGGACGTTTCCTGTCACGACATTTACTATTTATATTTACATACAACAATGTATGCAGTAAATGCATGCATATCTCTGATTGGATTGTCGATAAAATTGTCTGAGATGACAATTCCCACGGCACAGTATTTTCTCAGTGAACCAAAGTAATGAGTACAATATCAATATCTTTCTTGGTAGAAGTTGTTGCTTCAATCCACGTGGTTGCGACTGGCACAAACTCACACTTCTTATTTACTAGTACATGAAATATAAATAAAGAGATCATAGTGTTAACAAAAGTGAATTTCTTGTTATTAATCACACTTATACCTAAAATCTGCCAAATGTTTTTTGAATCATAATGCTTTGTTGCAGAATGTCATATACAGAATTAGTTTTTGAGTCCATCTAGATGGTTAAAACTAGGACCAAGAAAAGATTTTGTTCTCTTAAATTGTCTTATCGCTAAATTGTACTAAAATGAAACTGCCAATGCAGCAACCGAAAGTCGGTCATTGGTTAATTTGTTACAGAGTTGAAATTAAGCATGAATATTCATAAGTTCATTACTATATGATCCTTGGGTATAACGTTCATCTGCCACAATTTCATTGTACGAGAAACAGAGATAAATAACTACGAAATCCGAAAGGCTTACCAGATAAATGTACTAGAATGTTTGTAGTGTTTATCATTTGAAAATAGTTCCATTTCCCAGTAGGGAGTTTATGCAGGATTCTGGAAAAAGTGGGATACTTTACCCAGAATATATATATATCCATAGATGACACATCGACATACTATACTATTATATATTCATAGTAGTTACTACAAGAGCAAGATCTATGTAACTTAGTTTGGATGCAGTGAACACAGAGTATTTCATAAATCGCATTGAAATATAGGTTTTTAACAATTCTTTTTAATTGGTATATTTTTACTTCTTTTTCTTTAATTTATCTGCATCTATTTGCCGTTTTCTGACATATGGTACAGAAAGAAAATGAATAAAATGAATGTTGATAACAATTAGAAATATCTACATCATATTCTAGTTCCAGCATGTGTCGCCACAGGGGTCGTTTGGTGTAAACAAGTACAACACATTGACCATTGGAAATATGACGATAGAACCAGCCAACGACCCAACCTGCATCGCGGCGCCGCACCACATCAAGGCTTTGCGTCCGTTGTCACGACAGATTACTCCAATCATAACTTTCACGTAAGTAAGAAGCCCGATCATGAAGATCCACGCTAGTACCTATATGGGGACAAACAAATCAAAGTTCAAAGACGTGATAAACTACGAGTATACACGGTTGAAATTCACTAGTTTGTGTGTGTATGAGGTGAACTATTGGGAAGAAGTACGTGAATTCCAATGTTCCACATAGTCGGGTAAAACTCCCAGAAACACCTCACCCATCGTTTCGTTGTGTTTGAAAAAATAAAGTATGCCTAAAATTGACAAATGAAGCCGACAGATAATTCAATTGAGTATTGTATGTGTCTCGCCAAAGACAGTCCTTAGTCTCGCGTTTTAGTACCGACATGCAAGTCACATGATAAGCCAATGTCTTTCCCTCTTTTTCCATGCAAAGTGATGTCAGCTGTGTGACCGGAGTGTGTAGGTTTGTTTATTGGCGTTGTAATTTGCAAATGTCTGGGCAAATGTCTATTATACACTAAATGGATATTTTTTTCCGATATATATCTTCATTTTTGTTTTCGTTCATTTTGTTGTTGGTTAACGTGTGTTTTCGGATAAGAGTTTGTATTAAACACATTCTTGGTTCTAGAATGCAAATTAGAACACTATTTTCATCTCCATGTAAACAGATAAAAGTAGAAAGCTGTTCCTTAACATAATTGTTACAATTTTAAATACAGATC